ATCCTCGCCTCAAATATCTACAGGTTGTTCGTTATCCAGCTCGCGTTTTACCTCGGTACGAACGTGTCGATTTTTCTAAGCTCTGCTCGAGGCTTGGCCAGTCTCCAGGGAGTTTACACGTAGCGACCGAGGCACCGTGAAACTCTCCCAATCGCGTCATTTAATTTTCAATTAAATTCACGAACGACGTTTGGACACGCGCCTGCGGTGCTTTCAACGTTAAGTTAAACGGGCCTTCTGCCTCGTGGCCCAGACAAAGAATACAGACGCTAAAGTCTGCGGTGGTTTTCGTATTGAACGTCAACGACGGAGTGGCGCTGGTTGCGAATTCCACGTGTCGAAAGATGCAAGAAGAACGCGAGTTATCGCGAACAGACATACGTACCAGCACGAAGAAACAGAATGCAAGTCGAATATCGTTGTCCGTAAAGCACTGTAAATTCAGCGTAACACGCCGATAAGAGAGGGAAGACAAAGTGAATAAATAATTATTGAATGTAAATAGTCCGCGCGACTATAAAGGGCACGTTAAATGGCCAGATTAGATTTTTCATTATTCCCACATCTATTAAGAATCCGACTGACTGCACTTAAATCACCATGTCAAAAGATACCGATGGCAAACTCGCTGCAAAAGGCTATCCGCCTTTAAACACACGTATACCAGGTAAGAGAAAGAAGAAAAAAGCTTGAAAATTTCTCCCTTTACCCCTATCGTAACATCGGAGTCTGACAGGCCTTGGTCAACGACGCGGTCCAGCGCGACATGGCATCTTGAGAAGTCGGCGCTTGCGTCCGCAGCTTCGCGAGACGTCAATGGCTGACTCGTATTCGCAAGTATATTCAAAGGGGAGTCGCTGCTCCCGAGATTGGAAATCAGCCTTGACGACGCCGATGCAACCGTTCGAAAATCGATCTCTCCTAATCGAAGACTCAAAAGGTCACGTTCACGGTTGACCTTATACTCGCGTATCCAACTACCTCAAGATTCTTCTCCATTTCCCAGACATTGAAATTTTCCAGTATAAAGAGACGCGACTCGAAGAATGTACGAGATTCGGGGAAGAGGAGGGAGAAAGGGAGGGAGGAGGTTTGCCAGTCGAAAGTTCCACATGAAAAGCTTAACCGATGCTTTTCACTGCTGCAGTCCACGAACAAGCAGTATTCAATTCAGTTTGAGTCTCAAAGTCGAATCCTATTCTAGGCATGCACGACAAAGGAAGATATGAGAAAGAGAGAGATATATATATATATACAGAAGCCCTTTCTCCATCCTTTCTCTCTTCGAAGTCCAGTCATTCTACTTTACAGTGTCTCTGCGAAGGATACGTCCTCTGTCCTTCGATCCATTGCCCGCAGTAAGATCAATCCGGTTAGACGGCTAATCGAAAAGCTGCCGTATTCAAATACGCGCTGGAATAAGTCTTTCCTTTCGAAGCTATACGGGATATGCTTGCAGATTCCTACTGCATAGGCAAGAAGGACACCGATGTAAAAAGAAGAGGAGAGAACGGCAGTACGGGTACACCAAGGTAAAGATTGCTTAGCGACGTGATGCAATGGGATTTACGTAAAATCGAGTTTGCTTCAATGGAACCGCCGATGCGCCGACAGGGTGGCGTCGGGACGTGCAATTAAAAAATACGCGTTTACGTCGAAGCGTAGCAGATGACGCGAAAGCAATGCTTGCAAGAGACATCAAACGTTAGAGCCAATTTCCGTTTTCCTGCTGATACTAAGTGCACGCCGACATGCTTATATCGACCACGTCCCATTAGGGATGTAAATGCAGTAACTTTACACAGTAATGATGAAGATCGTCGTCGGAACCAAATGCCTCTGAGCCACGTGGCTCTTGGTGAAGTAGCGCCAGACTACCCAAGTCAGCGGCGGCTCAGTCAGTTAAAATTAGCCCACACGGTCCTGGAGTGACTATAAAAAAGAGCCTGAATACATCCAGATTAACAGTTCAGTCCCAGCTGATCCTGAGAGTCGGTCTGGTCGTTTCGCCAGGAGTGCAACCTCAGCTTGGGTCGGATGTCTGTTGGCTAGCAATTCATTAGTCGAGGATTAGGACGCAGCGTGAGCGTAACGATTGGCCGCGCCCGCAAATACGGAAACTTGTTGTTTCATCTCAGGTCGAGGAGTGTTCCGCTCTCGTTCGCGGTCGCGACTGGTAGCATTCGCCAGGAGCGAAGAGATCTTGGCTGTAGCGACGCAACTTCCTACCTGGTAAAATCGATAGCGCTGGTCGGCCCTCGAGGTTAGGACGTATCCAGTGCTTTAAAATTGAGTCCATTATCTCTATGGCCAGATACCCCGGCACTATCAATATTCGTTTAACGCGTCATTTACTTGCGACTGGGGGGTGACAAACAACGCTATGAACGTAGCTACAAGAAATATCAAATTTAAGGGACGTCCTGGGAACGTCCCTTAAGTTACGTATCTTGGTCGTCGTCGAGTTAGCAGAGACGATAAAGTTATTTTTTTATGACACGAGAAGTCTTTACGCCCTCTAGATATTCTTAACCGTTCATCCAGCTTAAGATGATGAGATTCTATCCATCTCTCTCTCTCTCTCTCTCTCTCTACCTCTCTCTCTCTCTCTCACTCTGCGTGATATGATATCAGAAAAGAATAATCCGTAAGAATAAGCTCGCGGTTAGAAAACCCTACTTTTAATCCTGCCTGGAAGGCAGCTTTTCATTTTTAACGAACGACCTATTCTTTCGTCACTCGC